GAGCCGGAGTTCAAGTATGTTGGGAACATGCATGGGAACGAGGTTCTGGGCAGGGAGCTGCTGCTCCAGCTCTCGGAGTTCCTGTGTGAGGAGTATCGCCGGAGGAGCGAACGGATCACACGGCTCATCTGGGACACACGCATCCACATCCTGCCCTCCATGAACCCAGATGGATATGAAGTGGCTGCCAACCAGGTACCAGGCAAGCGTTCAAGTATGTTGGGAACATGCATGGGAACGAGGTTCTGGGCAGGGAGCTGCTGCTCCAGCTCTCGGAGTTCCTGTGTGAGGAGTATCGCCGGAGGAGCGAACGGATCACACGGCTCATCTGGGACACACGCATCCACATCCTGCCCTCCATGAACCCAGATGGATATGAAGTGGCTGCCAACCAGGTACCAGGCAAGCATTCTCCTCGTCTCACCTGGCAGGGGCATGGCCTGCCCTTGTAGGGTAGCACACCAGTGCCGCCTCCACCAGTAGTTGTTAAGGACAACTAGAAAGGAGACTAGCACAGGCATGGAGGGCAAAATGAGAACAGCACAAGGGAAGCTGCACCTAGCAAGGGTCACTAAAAGCCCTAAGAAGAGGTTTTCCAAATCCATTCAGAGCAAGAGAAAGATGAAGGAAATGGGTAGGTTGAGGATGAGAGCTAGTAACAGACATAAAAAAGCTGAGATGTTTAAGCCTGTTTTTCTCCATCGTCCCCAAACTGCAAGGGTTGCAAGCATGTTGGAGGACAGGACTAGAGTCCAAAAGGAGAATTGGTCTGAATTTAGCAAGCTGAAATTCAATGAAGACAAATGCAAAGTACTTCATTTAGGAAGGAAAAAATCAATGCACGGCGATAAAATGGGGAATAAGTGGCTTGGCAGCAGCAGGGCAGAGGGTACAATGGGTTGCAAACTGAATGACAACATGATGCTGTCGACCCCAGAGCTGCTAGGCCTGGGTAGAGTCCTCTTTCCTGTTGCAGCCCAGACTCCAAATCCCTCTTCCCGTCACCCCTCACCTCCCTGCATCCTAACCTGCTGCCCCAACCAGAGCCCCCTCTCCCACTCTGACTTCTCATCCCTGCCCTAATCACACATCACTTCTGTGCTGGCACATAACGAAATATATCCTGCGTGTGCATGGGAAAAATGAAAAGGAGCATTGATCCCTGGCACTGGAAATTGTTAACAGGCTGGACGAACAGCGCTTGAGGATGGTCCTGGTTTACTTGGTCCTCCCTGAGGACAAGAGACTAAATTAGGTGACCCTTCCAGCTCTGCAGGGGAAGGCCATCATTCTTCCAGTGCTTGATCATGTTGATTCCCTTTTAGGTTGCGCAGTTGTCAGAGACGTCTGCCTTAGCGGTATCCGTAGGGCTGGCTGCGGTGCCGTCTGGAGTGGCTCCCTTGTGGCAGTATGTTCCGTACCACGGGCCCTGCGCAGTCTCAGTTCTGACCTGGTGGGTGGCTGGCTGGAATGTCTTGTCTTGCATCACAAAGCTGTAGCAGGTTTCCTATCACAGGCTTCATTGGTGTGTATCGTGCATAGTGTGTTGTAGTTAGGAATAGTGCGAAGCTACTGAATAGTGTTCCTGCTGGGATTTACCCCAGGGGGAGTATGTCCCACTAGCCTGGCTTCAAGTCACGTTTGGCTGGCAGGAGAGACCTTTGGGAGACACCCCCAGGAAGGGCTGGCGTAAAAACTTTCACCCTCAGAACCAGAAGGTGATTGGCAGAGGCCCTGGAGGTTTTTCCCTTCCTCTGTAGCGTGGGGCACAGGTCACAGCTAGAGGATCTCTGCATCTTGGGGCCTTCAAAGTATTTGCAGGCTTCAATATCTGAGATCTAGGGGAGAGGATTATTCTAGGAGGGGTGGGTGAGAGTCTGTGGCCTGCACTGTGCAGGGGTCAGACTAGATGATCACAATGGTCCCTTCTGACCTTAGAGTCTATGAGAAGGAGGGGACATCAGCTTGAGGGCCCTCCTTATGGAGACAGCTCCTCATCCTGCATCAGAACCCTCTGTGGCTGAGCCCATGCTGAGTACATCGGCTTGGGGGCGTAGTGCGCCATCGGCACCAGGCTCGGCCCGGCACTGCTCCCCTTTGCCAGTGCCCAGGAAGCAGCAGCAGACGTGGCGCCCCTCAGTGCCAAAGGGCCTGGGACAGGCCTCTCACCCACCTCAGGGCGCTACCACTGCATACCACATACTGCAAACCACTTCAGTATGACCCCCACGCTCGGCCAGCGACCTGCCCCCACCCAGGTTCTAGGGAATTTCTGGACCTAGCTGCTATAGGAGGAAATTCCCTAGAACCTAGACTGTGATCGGGGGGGTCATACTGTAGCCCTAGGGGAAGCCACCTTCATACCATGTGGCCCATCCTGATCCCCCCACAAGTCAGGGAGGCCACAAGCAGTCATTCTGAGCGAGTGTTCAAGGACAGCTCGCCAGCCCATGCACTGGATCCAGCCCTACCCTTCCTCAAGCCCCTCCGCCCTTTCCCATCCGCCTGCTCCTGCATCACTGCTGGGTGCTGATACCGTTTTGTCAGGCTGCACCCTACAATTTATGGCTTTCCTCCCCTTTCCCATCCCTCTTCAGGGACTCTTCTCACAAGCAACTCCTTGTCCAGGAGGCTGAATATCTCCTGTGCCCGGGGCCAGTGGAGAAGGTGCCTCGGAACGCGGAAGGAAGAGGATTTTATTCCTGTTACTTCCTAATTCTAAAGGCAGAAGGGGCCTCACACCCATCCTTCATCTCCTCAGCAAGTCTCTTCAAGGCTCAAATTCCACATGGTCTCCCTGGCCTCCCTCATCCCTTTCACTGAGCTAGGACACTGATCCACCACCCTGGATTTGAAGGACACGTACTTTCCTATCTCAGTCTTTCTGGGGCACTGGCGCATTGGGATGGTGCCATTTCTAGTTCAGGCAATGTCTGTGCATTCTCACAAAGCACATTGCACCCATGGGCACTTACCTGAGACACTGAGGGGTCCAGATATCCCAGCACCATGACGGCTGGTTGCTAAACAGCCGGTCCCCAGATCAGGTGCGGAGGCATCTCGATCTGGTCTGTCCACCTGTTGCAACCTGGGGTTGATAACAAATGAGAAAAAATCAAACCTAATTCCAGCACAATGCATAGAATTCATTAGGGTGGCCCTTGACTCCACGCGGGCCAAAGCCTTCCTCCCTGAGGCTGAATTCTGGACTATGGCAGATTTCATCACAAGCCTGCATGCCCACCCCCTCTGCTTGCTCTCAGGTGCCACACGGCAGCATGTACTCACATGGTTCAGCACACACCTCTCTGCCTCTGGCCCCGTCAAGCATGGCTAGCACCGACCTATGTCCCCAGCAAGCACATCATGGGCTGGATGGTCAGGATGCTGGACAGAGGACTCTTGTCCCTCACCCTGTAGCAGGATCTCGTGTTGATGCTGGAAGGCGTTCTCTTTGTGGCCCCAGCCTCGTCGGTCACCCTGGCCCCTGACAGCTCAGACCTGGGATGGGGAGCCTAACTGGGTGCTCTCAGCACTCAAGGTCACTGTCCAGTCACAATTGTGCCCTTCATGTCAGTGTCAGGGAGCCAGGTCACCTGCCCTCTTCCTGAAAGCCCTCTGGCTCTGGGGCTTCTGTCTGCAGCACAATTTCCATCTTGTAGCTGCTTATCTTCTGGGAACCAGGAACATGTTGGCAGCCCCCCTCAGCAGGCAGCCTGGGTCTCCCCATGAATGGCTGATGGTTCCTCCTTCCACTGGTGGGGGACTCCCCAGGTGGACCTGTTCGCTTCCACGCAGAACAGGAAATGCCACATCTTCTGCTCAACTGGGGGCATGGACAGAGGATCCTTGTTGGACACTTTTCTGCTCCCAAGGTCGGGGCTGTGACATGCCTCCCCACCGCTGCCATTGCTACCCAGGTCCCAACAAAGATCAAACAGGACAGGAGGAGGATCATCTGTATTATGCTGCTGTGGCTGTACCAACACTGGCTCAGCATGGTGGTGACCTCATTCCAGCTACCTCTCAGATTGGATCTATTGTCCCAGAACCAAGGCAGTCTGCTGGCGGAATTACATCAGAAAGCCTGGTTGCTGCATGGCTGAACACGCAGGGGCAGCAGTGCTTGGCTGAGGTTCAGAATCCTGTTGGTTCAGCATCCTTCACCTTACCAGACAAAGTGAAGACTTCACCTGCTGGATCTTGGACAGAAGTGTCTGGCCTGACTTGGCTCCTCTGCAGCTTATTCTTGCTGCCTTCTGCATCTCGAGCTCCAGGGTTTGTCCCTCTCATCAGCCAAGAGCCATCTAGCAGCTATCTGGCCTTCACTCGGTATTGCGGCCAGATTCTGTAAGAGCACAGAGCGCCTCTACTAGCACTGTTAGGGACTCAGTCTTGCCATGGGACTCAAATCTGGTGCTGTCACAGTTCATGGGTCCCCGCTTGGAGCTTATGGCTTTGCACTCTCTTTTTCTCCTTTCTTGAAAAGTCACGTTCCTCACTGCAGCAATGTCTGTCTGCTGAGTATCTGAGGTTGGACGCTCACCTCAGAATCATTGTACATGGCCTTCTGCGAGGATCAAGTCCAGCTCAGACCACACCAAGCATTTCTCCCCCAGGCCATCTCTCAGTTTTATTCGAGGCAGGACATTTACTTACTGGTCTTGTTCCCAAAGCCACATCAATCTGAGGAGAACAGGCTACCTGGACTGGATATCTGGAAGGCTCTGGCCTGCTACATTGACAGAACCAGGTCATTCTGTAAGTCGACACAATTATTTGTCACGGTGGCTGACAGGATGAACGGTTGCCCTGTATCCACACAAAGGATTTGTTCTTGGACCATGGCCTGCATTTGCTTCTGCTATGGTCAAGCAAAGGTGCCACCTCCAGTGACTGTCGCCACCTACTCTGCCAGGGCACAGGTCTCCTCAGCAAACTTTCTGTCCCATGTGATATTCAGGACAACTGCAGACAAGCCACATCCTCAGTCATGTCTTTATGTCCACTAGAAGATTTACCAGGCGTTGTTCAGGTCCTTCACTCAAAAAATGTTTGTTTTTCTTCATTTCAATCAGTGATCTGGGGTGGGGGTGGAGATGAGGGGCTCACTATGCACATTGCACCAAGGAGAAAGGACCATGCCAGCCCTCTCTCACCACAGCAGCTTGGGGCCAGGTGAGAAGCCCTTCGCCGGGGGAGGGGTGAATGTTCCCTGGCTGAGGCAGGTCAATGTTTGTCTGCCTCATGCTATCCCCAGCCAGAGTGAGGAATGCAGCAAACTGGGCACTTTCCCCTCACCCCCTGACAAAGGGGAATAGCCAGCAACATCCTGTATGAATCAGGGGAGGGAATTCAGCCCCCCCCACCTAAAAGGCACCTGGAGGATGGGAAGCTCAGAGCTGGGGCAGTCCCAATCAGCTCCTTTCACCTGCCTGGTGATTGTTTCTTTTCTGTATGGCTTTAGGAGCCTCAATTCCATTCCAGGCACATCCATTTTCCTGGCACAACCAAACCTTGGCCCTGCTTTAAGTTATGGGAAAGGAAAGCTGCCTACTGAATTTGGTGCTGCTAGTGCTTACCGTTTTAGGAGGAGCTCTAGAGCAAACGCACAGCCTCTCTCAAATGTATCGTAGACTCAGTGCTGATCCAGCAGCCCGAGGATGAAGCTGAGTTTGGCAGAGCAATGTGGCAGGCTGCTAAACTGTGAACTCCAAGGCCACCTCTGTGGATACTGCTTGTCGGATCCGGTCTTAAGGGCGGGTCACGACCACATTTCGGCCCAACCTCCCAGATCCTCCCCCCAGGTTCCCCTAGTGACTCCCTGACCCTTTTTTTTCTTTTTTTTTCCTTTGCTTGACAAATTTTTGTCGGGTATTTTTTTAAACCATCTGTCGACTCTACGGGTGAGCCGAGAGGTTGCCCAGGGCCACCAATCGGTTAGGCCTGGCCCTGCTGCTTGTGAGTCGCCTAACGTGGGATCAACATGATCAAGTACTCGCAGAAGAAAGTGCAGCTACCTACCTGCATGTAACTGTTCTTTGCGAGGGTTGCTCATGTCCATTCTGTCCCCTGCCCTCCTGCTCCACTGTGGGAGTTGAAGGCAAGAAGGAAGTGAGCGGGCTCAGGGCAGTGGCACTTAATGTACCACCACCACAGCCGCTCCTACAGACACCACTAAGGCAGAAATCTCCAACAACAGTGCGTGTGGGTGTGCACACACCGACAGTGGATGGACAGTTACAAATAGATAGGGAACCGTTTTCTCTGCTGTCTGCCACCTGCACCCTCCAAATCCCTAGCTAGTGTTTCATCCCACCCCTCCTGTCTTTGCTCCCTCAGCGTGTGTTTCACACAACTTGGTTCCCACCCTTCAGCACATCTCGCCCCCGCCGGGATCTCTAAGATGCCCAGGAACATACCTCACCGCTGTCTGGGAAGGGCTGTTATTTCCATTGTTGCTACAGACCGTGGCCTTCACAAGCTCCCAGGGAGCTGATTCTGCTTTGTTTGCATTTCAGTCTTCCAGAGCTCAGCTAGCTCTGGCCGGCGTCTGCCCCTCGGAGGACAGCCTGGGAGGTGACGGGGAAACAGCTGCCTCCTTTATTCTTGCTCTGCATTGAATGGGATGGGCATCACGTACTAATGATGCCATGAGCCATGGGGCTGTCAATGGGTTGTAAAGAAACCCTGTACCTGGGCACTTCACCCTAACCCTCCCGAAGTGACAGGCTAAATGCCAGGGTGGGAGGGTGGAACGTGGCCCTGGCCAATGAGGTAAGTGATTCCGTTCATGGGCACACCGTGCAGGGGCTGCAAACAGGCAGCTGAGAAATATTGCCATGCTCAGGGTGGCCGGTCGGGCGACTAAGCAGGCCTGTGGCCAGCAGATTCTCTGGCCCAAGCATGCAGGTCTCAGTGCTGACCCAGAAGTGACGTGTGAAAGGAAAGCAGCTTTCCACCACTATATGGCCCCCAGCACGAACTGGCACAGCCCTAATCTGGCAGCAACTTGAATGTCCGGGCATTGCCAGAGCAGATCATTGTCATGGGGGAATGGGTCCCCGTAAGGCAGGAGGGGACCAGCCCTTCCCAGCCAGAGGGGGGAAGACAAAAGGGCTCAGCTGACACTCGATTGGTCACCTGGTCCTTATGGACGGGCTCAGGGCGCTCAGCTGGGGGGGCCACAGGGAGCCGTGGGCTCCGAGGGGCAGCCCTGAGCCGGGTTCTGCTGGAGTCAGTGCTCCAGGTAAAGAGCTGCTGAGGAGCCCACAACGGGGAGAAGAGCTTGTGTTGCTCGGGCTTTGGGGTGACCACGGTGGAGCCCTGCGAGGGGTTGAGTGTGTCACCGCTCCAGCCCTGGCCCAGGCAGGTGGAGTTTATTGAAAGAGCCTCAGGAAGAGGGAACTGGAGGGAGGGTGCTGGGCTTGGGAGGTGGCTGGAGCGCGAGCATCTAATCCAGCCTCCCGTCTCAGACGCTGGCAGCAGAAAGGAGGCAAGCTGCCCTGGAGCTGGCAGGTGTGGGGTGAACTGGTAGAGCATAGACAGATTTCATCTTCAGTCCATGACCACGCTAGCGCCGGCCTGGAACGCAGCCATGGTAAATGGCATTATGGAAGTGTAATGCCCAGCAGTCGGGAGCACACGCTCGGGGCTGTGTGTTTTCCCCTGACCCTGCTGGAATTCATCCCTCCTGGTGCTGTCGAACACGGCCCATTGGCACGAGACTCAGGCTGGCCTGTCCCTGGCTCAGTCATTGAGTGCTGTGAGACCTTGGGCAAGTTGCTTACTTAGGACTGCCTCAGTGTCCCCGTCTGGGGAATGGCGCTCACTACACTCACCCTCCCCTGCACCAAGCACAGCGCTGCTCATTTCCCTGCCTGCAGTGACTGCCTGGGGGGCTCAGACACCGCGAAGCCCAGGTTCATTGTGTAGGTTCTGGACATGCCCTTCCTGCATGACGTTTGAATGGAGCCTGCATTTCCCCTGATCTCACAGGGGCTTGTGGGCCTTCTCCCTCCAGAACCTAGATGCCATTGGGTACCTGACGGGCAGGAACAATGCCAACGGCATCGACTTGAACCGGAACTTCCCTGATCTTAACACGTTCATGTACTACAATGAGAAAACCGGAGGTCCCAATCACCACATCCCCCTGCCAGCCAACTGGAAAAGCCAGGTATGGGCCAGGGGTTTCCAGGAGCAATAGAGGGTCAGACCAGCACCCCCTATAGAAGCACCCACCCATGCACGGTACCTTCCCTCCCCCCACCATAGAAACACCCACCCCTGCTAGGTACCTTCCCTCCCCCCGTAGAAACACCCACCCCTGCTCGGTACCTTCCCTCCCCCCGTAGAAACACCCACCCCTGCTCGGTACCTTCCCTCCCCCCGTAGAAACACCCACCCCTGCTCGGTACCTTCCCTCCCCCCGTAGAAACACCCACCCCTGCTCGGTACCTTCCCTCCCCCCGTAGAAACACCCACCCCTGCTCGGTACCTTCCCTCCCCCCGTAGAAACACCCACCCCTGCTCGGTACCTTCCCTCCCCCCGTAGAAACACCCACCCCTGCTCGGTACCTTCCCTCCCCCCGTAGAAACACCCACCCCTGCTCGGTACCTTCCCTCCCCCCGTAGAAACACCCACCCCTGCTCGGTACCTTCCCTCCCCCCGTAGAAACACCCACCCCTGCTCGGTACCTTCCCTCCCCCCGTAGAAACACCCACCCCTGCTCGGTACCTTCCCTCCCCCCGTAGAAACACCCACCCCTGCTCGGTACCTTCCCTCCCCCCGTAGAAACACCCACCCCTGCTCGGTACCTTCCCTCCCCCCGTAGAAACACCCACCCCTGCTCGGTACCTTCCCTCCCCCCGTAGAAACACCCACCCCTGCTCGGTACCTTCCCTCCCCCCGTAGAAACACCCACCCCTGCTCGGTACCTTCCCTCCCCCCGTAGAAACACCCACCCCTGCTCGGTACCTTCCCTCCCCCCGTAGAAACACCCACCCCTGCTCGGTACCTTCCCTCCCCCCGTAGAAACACCCACCCCTGCTCGGTACCTTCCCTCCCCCCGTAGAAACACCCACCCCTGCTCGGTACCTTCCCTCCCCCCGTAGAAACACCCACCCCTGCTCGGTACCTTCCCTCCCCCCGTAGAAACACCCACCCCTGCTCGGTACCTTCCCTCCCCCCGTAGAAACACCCACCCCTGCTCGGTACCTTCCCTCCCCCCGTAGAAACACCCACCCCTGCTCGGTACCTTCCCTCCCCCCGTAGAAACACCCACCCCTGCTCGGTACCTTCCCTCCCCCCGTAGAAACACCCACCCCTGCTCGGTACCTTCCCTCCCCCCGTAGAAACACCCACCCCTGCTCGGTACCTTCCCTCCCCCCGTAGAAACACCCACCCCTGCTCGGTACCTTCCCTCCCCCCGTAGAAACACCCACCCCTGCTCGGTACCTTCCCTCCCCCCGTAGAAACACCCACCCCTGCTCGGTACCTTCCCTCCCCCCGTAGAAACACCCACCCCTGCTCGGTACCTTCCCTCCCCCCGTAGAAACACCCACCCCTGCTCGGTACCTTCCCTCCCCCCGTAGAAACACCCACCCCTGCTCGGTACCTTCCCTCCCCCCGTAGAAACACCCACCCCTGCTCGGTACCTTCCCTCCCCCCGTAGAAACACCCACCCCTGCTCGGTACCTTCCCTCCCCCCGTAGAAACACCCACCCCTGCTCGGTACCTTCCCTCCCCCCGTAGAAACACCCACCCCTGCTCGGTACCTTCCCTCCCCCCGTAGAAACACCCACCCCTGCTCGGTACCTTCCCTCCCCCCGTAGAAACACCCACCCCTGCTCGGTACCTTCCCTCCCCCCGTAGAAACACCCACCCCTGCTCGGTACCTTCCCTCCCCCCGTAGAAACACCCACCCCTGCTCGGTACCTTCCCTCCCCCCGTAGAAACACCCACCCCTGCTCGGTACCTTCCCTCCCCCCGTAGAAACACCCACCCCTGCTCGGTACCTTCCCTCCCCCCGTAGAAACACCCACCCCTGCTCGGTACCTTCCCTCCCCCCGTAGAAACACCCACCCCTGCTCGGTACCTTCCCTCCCCCCGTAGAAACACCCACCCCTGCTCGGTACCTTCCCTCCCCCCGTAGAAACACCCACCCCTGCTCGGTACCTTCCCTCCCCCCGTAGAAACACCCACCCCTGCTCGGTACCTTCCCTCCCCCCGTAGAAACACCCACCCCTGCTCGGTACCTTCCCTCCCCCCGTAGAAACACCCACCCCTGCTCGGTACCTTCCCTCCCCCCGTAGAAACACCCACCCCTGCTCGGTACCTTCCCTCCCCCCGTAGAAACACCCACCCCTGCTCGGTACCTTCCCTCCCCCCGTAGAAACACCCACCCCTGCTCGGTACCTTCCCTCCCCCCGTAGAAACACCCACCCCTGCTCGGTACCTTCCCTCCCCCCGTAGAAACACCCACCCCTGCTCGGTACCTTCCCTCCCCCCGTAGAAACACCCACCCCTGCTCGGTACCTTCCCTCCCCCCGTAGAAACACCCACCCCTGCTCGGTACCTTCCCTCCCCCCGTAGAAACACCCACCCCTGCTCGGTACCTTCCCTCCCCCCGTAGAAACACCCACCCCTGCTCGGTACCTTCCCTCCCCCCGTAGAAACACCCACCCCTGCTCGGTACCTTCCCTCCCCCCGTAGAAACACCCACCCCTGCTCGGTACCTTCCCTCCCCCCGTAGAAACACCCACCCCTGCTCGGTACCTTCCCTCCCCCCGTAGAAACACCCACCCCTGCTCGGTACCTTCCCTCCCCCCGTAGAAACACCCACCCCTGCTCGGTACCTTCCCTCCCCCCGTAGAAACACCCACCCCTGCTCGGTACCTTCCCTCCCCCCGTAGAAACACCCACCCCTGCTCGGTACCTTCCCTCCCCCCGTAGAAACACCCACCCCTGCTCGGTACCTTCCCTCCCCCCGTAGAAACACCCACCCCTGCTCGGTACCTTCCCTCCCCCCGTAGAAACACCCACCCCTGCTCGGTACCTTCCCTCCCCCCGTAGAAACACCCACCCCTGCTCGGTACCTTCCCTCCCCCCGTAGAAACACCCACCCCTGCTCGGTACCTTCCCTCCCCCCGTAGAAACACCCACCCCTGCTCGGTACCTTCCCTCCCCCCGTAGAAACACCCACCCCTGCTCGGTACCTTCCCTCCCCCCGTAGAAACACCCACCCCTGCTCGGTACCTTCCCTCCCCCCGTAGAAACACCCACCCCTGCTCGGTACCTTCCCTCCCCCCGTAGAAACACCCACCCCTGCTCGGTACCTTCCCTCCCCCCGTAGAAACACCCACCCCTGCTCGGTACCTTCCCTCCCCCCGTAGAAACACCCACCCCTGCTCGGTACCTTCCCTCCCCCCGTAGAAACACCCACCCCTGCTCGGTACCTTCCCTCCCCCCGTAGAAACACCCACCCCTGCTCGGTACCTTCCCTCCCCCCGTAGAAACACCCACCCCTGCTCGGTACCTTCCCTCCCCCCGTAGAAACACCCACCCCTGCTCGGTACCTTCCCTCCCCCCGTAGAAACACCCACCCCTGCTCGGTACCTTCCCTCCCCCCGTAGAAACACCCACCCCTGCTCGGTACCTTCCCTCCCCCCGTAGAAACACCCACCCCTGCTCGGTACCTTCCCTCCCCCCGTAGAAACACCCACCCCTGCTCGGTACCTTCCCTCCCCCCGTAGAAACACCCACCCCTGCTCGGTACCTTCCCTCCCCCCGTAGAAACACCCACCCCTGCTCGGTACCTTCCCTCCCCCCGTAGAAACACCCACCCCTGCTCGGTACCTTCCCTCCCCCCGTAGAAACACCCACCCCTGCTCGGTACCTTCCCTCCCCCCGTAGAAACACCCACCCCTGCTCGGTACCTTCCCTCCCCCCGTAGAAACACCCACCCCTGCTCGGTACCTTCCCTCCCCCCGTAGAAACACCCACCCCTGCTCGGTACCTTCCCTCCCCCCGTAGAAACACCCACCCCTGCTCGGTACCTTCCCTCCCCCCGTAGAAACACCCACCCCTGCTCGGTACCTTCCCTCCCCCCGTAGAAACACCCACCCCTGCTCGGTACCTTCCCTCCCCCCGTAGAAACACCCACCCCTGCTCGGTACCTTCCCTCCCCCCGTAGAAACACCCACCCCTGCTCGGTACCTTCCCTCCCCCCGTAGAAACACCCACCCCTGCTCGGTACCTTCCCTCCCCCCGTAGAAACACCCACCCCTGCTCGGTACCTTCCCTCCCCCCGTAGAAACACCCACCCCTGCTCGGTACCTTCCCTCCCCCCGTAGAAACACCCACCCCTGCTCGGTACCTTCCCTCCCCCCGTAGAAACACCCACCCCTGCTCGGTACCTTCCCTCCCCCCGTAGAAACACCCACCCCTGCTCGGTACCTTCCCTCCCCCCGTAGAAACACCCACCCCTGCTCGGTACCTTCCCTCCCCCCGTAGAAACACCCACCCCTGCTCGGTACCTTCCCTCCCCCCGTAGAAACACCCACCCCTGCTCGGTACCTTCCCTCCCTGTTGCCCCCTCGGGAAAGGTCCACCCTGCTCAGTACCTTCCGTCCCTGCCCTCCCCACCAGAAATGTCCACTCCTGCTAGGTGCCCTCCCCCTCACACCCTCCCTCAGAGAAGCAGCGTCTCCCGTAGGAGCCTCAGGCCTTGGTTGGTGTCACAGGGCCATTGGGTGGAGCTGACCCAGCAGCTGCCTGTGTCAGTGCGTTCTCGCCGTTCCATTCCATGGCAGTCGGACCCTACCAAATTCATGGTCATGGAAAACGTGTCATGAATCGTGAAATCTGTTGTTTTGTGCTTTTCCTCTGTACTATACAGATTTCATGGGGAGACTGGAATTTCCTGCCCCAAAGGGGAGTTGCCGGAGGTCACAGGGATATTGTAGGGGGCTCGTGGAATGGCCACCCTTACTTCTGCGCTGGCTGCAGAGCTGGGGGGCTGGAGAGTGGCAGCTGTTGGCTGGGCAACCAGCTCTGAAAGCTAATAACAGCACAGAAGTAAGGGTGGCAACACCCTACCAGGCTGTCCTTGCTCTTGTGCTTCTGCCTTCAGAGCTGGGTGGCTGGAGAGAGGCAGCTGCTGCCTGAGGGCCGAGCTTTGCAGGCAGCAGTACAGGAATAAAGTTGGCAATACCATCCCAGGCCAGCCTTACTTCTGTGCTGCTGCTGCTGCTGCTGCTGCAGAGGTGTTGCCTTCAGAGTTGGAGCCCAGCCAACAGTCACCACTCTCTAGTTCCCCCCCACTCACAATAACCTTGCACCCACTCCAACTCCTGTTTGGGTCAGGACCTTGATAGTTACAATACCAGAAATTTCAGATTTAAATACCTGAAATCATGAAATTTACTATTTGTAAAATTCTTCGATCCTGAAATTGACCAAAATGGACCATGAATTTGGTAGGACCCTACCTATAAGTCTGCACTGGAAAAGTGTTTGAAAAATCCTGTGCCTGTTGTGAGTGTGGAAGGACGCTTGAAGAGGGGAGATTGACAGGTTGTCAAAGCAGGTGCAGTTTGGCTAGTGGCAGCCTGAGGGGAATGTGGCAGGTGATAAGGTCAGACATGCAGGCGGGAGTGAGCAGGGCAGGGCTTTGAGTCTGAGCTATGCAGAGCCACGGGGAGGTATCGCGCCCTTGAGTCTGAGCTATGCAGAGCCACGGGGAGGTATCGCGCCCTTGACTCTGAACTATGCAGAGCCACGGGGAGGTATCGCGCCCTTGACTCTGAACTATGCAGAGCCACGGGGAGGTATCGCGCCCTTGACTCTGAACTATGCAGAGCCACGGGGAGGTATCGCGCCCTTGACTCTGAACTATGCAGATGGCGATGGACCAGGAGCACAATCTGGCAGTCACGTTTGGACAGGTCAGAGGGGCAGGGCAGCTGTGCAGGAGGCGGTGCCATGGTCAGGGCAGCAGATGTTCAGGGGAGCATGAGAATTCGGGCATCTGAAGAGAATTGGGAGGCTTCTTGCGGTGCGCTGCGGGAGAGGCAGCAGGATGGGTCACATCCGGCTGGAGAAGCAGCGCTGGGGCTGGTAACGTGACAGCTGGTGAAGGGACAGGGAAGCATGTGGAACCCAGGCTAGAAGGTAGCGCCCCCAGAGCACGTATCCACAAGCCAAGCTCACACTGGCATCTCCTTTGCTTACAGGTGGAGCCAGAGACCCTGGCTGTGATTAACTGGATGAACTGCTACAACTTCGTCCTTTCAGCCAACCTCCATGGCGGAGCCCTAGTGGCAAATTACCCCTATGACAAAGCCCAAGAGCAACGGGGCCGGGGCCGGGGCTATCACCATGCAAGCAACACCCCATCCCCTACCCCTGATGACAAGCTGTTCCGGAAGGTGCGCTGGGAACACCGGGAGGCCCAGGTGCCTCCTGAGACATGGGCCCCAGATGGCTGCTCTCCCAAAGCGAACTTCTCTTGAGTCAGCAGCTGAGCCCGCCTGCGAGGTCAAGGGTGTGGATCTGGGATTTGAACCCAGGCTACCCCCTTGGAGCCCTCCACCCCCGAACACGTGATGGGCTTGGGATCAGAAATTCCAGTTTTAGCCTAACATTTGGTTTGCATCATCTGCCACAGGCAGAGATGTTGAGCTAAATACATCCCTGGCATAAATGACACCGAGGTCCATGGTGTTTGCCCCAGGATTGAATCTGGCCCATTTCCCGTGCACAGAGTCTAGGGACAAGCCCCTCCTGACTGGTGCAATAATCCGCCCTGAAGGTCTGAGCCTGCATGTGCTGAGAGCTTCCAAAGTTGACCTGAGTGCCCTCAAGTCCCAGGGCTGCACCTTGAGCAGGAACGAGCTCTCGATGCTGCCCACAAGCCCCCCCTTCGCCCCCCCAACGGCCTGCGCTGTGGGGACTGCAGTGTGCTGCGAGCTCTGAAGCACCAACCTTCCACCGTGTTTCCCCAGGCAGCCTGCATGGACGGAGGGTTTGCCGCGCTCTCAGGGCAGAGAGAACCTGGCTGGGGTAGAAAAGTATCCGGACAGTAAATCCTCTGCCTCAGGGGCGCCAGAGACGCTTTTGGTTGTGGGCTTCCTCCAGCTTCCCTGGGCCTGCGCAGGAGACAGCCGGTCTCCTCTCTGCTCCCACGGCTCCCGGTCCCGAGCCCCCGCTCCGCCTCTGGCTGACC